TTGGCCTCGCATGCTGCTAACACATTTTTGTTTATATGGGAGGACCAGTTGTCACAAATAATCACTTTGCGGCTATCTTTTTTCTTTAAAATTGGCAGTAAATGAGATTCGAACCAGTCCTCAAACGTGATACTATCAATCCAACCGCTTTTGGTTCTATTATACCGGGTTCTGTGTGGTCCATTTTCAGTCCAAGTAGACCACAAATGCTCTGCCTTGAAGGTAACATATGGCGGAACAGTTTCCCCTACGGCATTCCCACAAAACATGACTGAAAAACTTACTTTTGTAGCATTTACAATCATTTCAGGATACTTTGTGCCACGTCTACAAATTACTTTCTTTTTTCCGGGGTCATCGGTAAGGCTACTTTCATCGTAGTTGCAGATATTCTCTGGTGGAATATTGTCTAACTCTACAGTCAAATTTTCAACAAACTGTTCAATAATTGGCTCTGAAATTGCTGCTCTTACTTTTTTAATATTGTTTGCTAATCGTCTAGACAGAATCTTGTTTCGCTTGAGAAATCCTCTGACCTACTCGGTGCCAGGTATGTTGTTATTAAACTGTTTTACCTGTCTTCCACAAGCTGACAAGTAGTCTTTGATAATAATTTTGAGGTCAATATCTGTTATCGAAAACCCAAATTCTGAGAGCGCTGTAACATGGGCAACAAATGCTTGTTCTTCTTCTGTTGTAAATATAGTTGGATGGCCGGGTATGTTACAGTGCTTATTCTTCAGTTTATTCTTTATCGTACTACGAGGAATTTTATACTCGTACTTAGCTGCAGCAGCCCGTTGAGTCCGTATCTTGAATCTCACGTCATTTAAACATTGCTCCAACTGCTTCAGTGTAGTCAATGTAACGACGATTTCCCGCTTTCCTTCTATCGATGGTAGGCATCTTTGTCTATCTAAAAGGTCAAAAGTAACGCATTATTCCGATTGAATGGCTTAATATAGCTGGTTATGTAAAAATATAATGAAAAATCATTATAAGGATACTTTGGCACATGGGCCAAAGATACCCGAAAGCGTGGGCCAAAATATACTGATATATTAATTTGAATATATTCTCCACAAAAATACCTTTTACCGTTTGTTTCGTATTCCAACATCTCAGATGTATATCTGATACATTTGATCACGTAAAAGAACTGCAACTTACCTGATAACTTGGTTTCGTGAGAAAGTTTGCACACAATAAATTCACGTGTTCTGCAGATAGATACTTGTTGCCCTAACCTCAAATCTACGCATGTGCTGTGAGCCCCAGATAGTGTGCTACCAATATCACTATAGAGTCATCTATCGATTACTAGGCGAACTACATCGATGCGTCGCAATGAGCTGTCATGGCAGAAAGCGAAAACTTTTTAACAGTTTGGGCTTAAGTAGCACCGTAGGGCTAAAGTACCCCGATCTGACGGTCTACTTTATTTGTACTACGAAATTTCGATAGATATAGATCATATAATGATAGATCGAGAATTTACCGTGATCGCTATGTGGAACTTAAAATGACGTTATTTGCTTATTTTATTTCTCTGATTAAGCCCTTTTGTTTGATACCTATATCGTGGCGATGGTCATGGAAATTATAAAACGTCATTCTGTGGTGCCTATTGGACTTCACTCTACTTATTACGTTTGCTTCATCAATCCTTTTCATTTGATACCCATAGTATAGGGGTGACTATCGAAATTACAAATCTCCTCTGTATTTAGAATGGCGTTACTTTGCTTGTTACGTTTATCTCATGAAGCCCATTAATTTAATACCTATATTGTAGGAGTGACTATGGTAATTATAAAGGCAATCTTGGATTGTTCACCATATTGACGTCACTTTGCCTTTTGCGTTTCTCTCATCATGCCCTTTCACCTAATACCCATATCATAGGTATGACTATGCAAAATGTAAATTGCCATGCCCTCTTGGCCTTAACAATGCATTTTTATTACAATTCCAGCAAAATCCAGGCAGAACCTTCCTAGTTAAGAATTACCGCACAAACAACAAACATTGAGACAGACCGAAGAAAACGTGGGACATCGTTGTTCATTATGTACATCCGCGAAATTAATACTTCCACTCCCATTTGTGTGGGAAGTAAAAACTAATAAATAGAATACTTTACCCTGGTTCTGGCTGCAACAGCAGCACAAAACTGAAAAAATGTTAATTGAATTTTAAATGTTAACGTTTTCGGCAGAAGCTTCTTCGTGTCAATATTGCACTGCCTTCAATTTTCACGGGAGTGGCGACATCAAAACTTACATCAAGGCTCTTGAGCTACTCCAGCTTGCAATCGTTACTGCGATCTAGTTTTACAGGATACGTTTTCATTTATTTATAGTTTAAGAAACAGTTTCTGTAAGTTTCTCCAACTGTATTTAACGCCAAGACATCGTCCCCACTAGCATAGCGACATACTTTTTAAAGATTTCCGTTGCGATATACGACAGCTGTGATATACGGGAAAATGTTTTTTACAATTTTCCTTCGTACATTTTTCCATTAACAGGATTTATCGTCGAGCTTGTAATTTCGAGAGATATCTGCTACAAATCCATCGAAAAGCAAACTTATGTTCAATAAAATTCTTTTAGCATATTTTTCACTTCTCATAATTTCTGTTATTTTTCTGTATGATATGTTATTTGATGATGAAATATCTCCATAAAATATATTTTCATTCGGTAAAACGTAATTAAGGTAAAAGGCCGTTTTTAGGAAGAACGGCTCTTCAGACTCCAGTTTAATCCTTTACGTCCAGGTTGATCTGTTTATTATAGAAGAGTTCATTTTGTTTTATAGATATTATATATACAGGGTAACTTCGGAGTTGAGCCATTTATTTTAATAGTGAGTAGATCTGATCAGAAGAAATATTTTTTCCTTTAACATTTTTGTGGTAAAATTAAAGTAACAAAGTTATAGCCCTTTTGAAGTTTGAGTACCGCCCTGTCTCATTAATAATATTAAGTGCTCGTGTTTGGCAACAACGGATATAATCCGCCTTATCGGTTCATCGCATCGGAAACAAAAAAGCGAAAGAATTTGAAACGCTTATCACGATGTTTTTACTACAATTTTATTCAGTTGTATTCAGTCAATGTGTCAGTCGGTAACGCGTGAGTGAATAGTGGTGTTTGTTGCGTGGCTCAAACGAAATAAAAAATGACACATGTTTACGAAAATGATGAACTTGTGGACATGATTCTTATTTACGGGGGGGAGCAGTCTTTACAAAATGCTGCCGCGGCATCACAGATTTATGCGGATCGGTTTCCCAATCTAGTGCTACCAACCCCTCGTGCCTTTGTTAATGTAGTACAAAGGGCTCGTGAATCAGGTGACTTAAGACCTCACAGGGGAGTAAATGCCGGTGCCCCAAGACCGCACGATCAAATACAGGTCCGCACTGAAATATTTGTCGGGAGGATACTTTATAAAACAAGGTAACATTTTTTTTTATTTTTTTTTTTCATTTTTACACACATATTTTGGTTTATCTTCCTTCTACAATCATTATCTGAAAATTAATGATTCAACTTCAAAGTCACCCTGTATATATATATATATATATATATCTTAAATCATTAGATTTAGAAACAACTTTTTAAAAAAATTTATTTGAGGACTGAAGCTTCAGTCCATATAAAATACAAAAAGGCTTACAATTGAACTTATCAGTTAGCGTACATTACGGTGTCGCGCCGGGTATTGAACGACAGGATATGGCCGCGAGGCCTATTTATACATTCAGAAAGCTGACTAAGAATTAGCAGAAAACAGCAAAGGCACTATTCTAGCAACGGATTAGCGAGAGGTTGTTATCATATGCTGACACATCGTCTGGTGCAACATTGTATAATAACTGCGTAGTTACTATGGCCATATAACATATATATATATATATATATATATATATTGAATTAGTACTAGTAACTAGCTGATGACCCTTCAAATGTCATACAGTATGTTACCACCGGTAATACAGGCCGGTCATCACGTATAGAATAAATGGCAACACTGGCTCCTGTCTAGTGAACATATTCGACCGGTAACTTGACTCCTTATCCCCGATTTGTTAAATAAAACAAATCAGACACTATTTGAACAGATAACATAGTTAATTAAAGTCTCCTCACCAGGGCAGGGGAGATCGATCCAAAAATTATCAGATACCTTGTGGACCAATTCACTAACACCTATAAATTCCATACTGTACCAAACTTCGCATCACATTTTTCTGTCGATAAACATTTACACTGGAGGCATTTTTCTGGGCAGTAAATTGGCTCCTTGTATACTGGAAAGAATACCACTTATAAATATCATTCAAAGTAGGTACATCAAAGTCTCTTTAGTATAAATACGAGTTTTCATAGACTTGCCGATGGGATTTTTACTTTTTAGCCAGTCCGAACACATACTACTTTTTAGTGAATTCTTTTAAAATTCAGAATGCGAGAAGTTGCTCAAAAGGATCATAAAATAATCAATCGACCTGGCATTCTCCCTGCTTTTAATTCGACACTATATTATGTATTAGAGCTGGTCCAAGTCGTTCGGTTTAGAGATTCCATTCCATGGTTGATTTCGGTCTCGGACTGATTTTTTTTTTATTTCCGATTCATTTTGATTCCGATTCCAAAATATGTCATCTGTGTTAATGAGCCTTACAAAATAACGCTACCGCAGTGGAAAGCATTTATTTATCGATTCCGATAATCCTGATTCCTGAAGCGGAACTGGATGGCTTCATACTCAGCAATGGGTTGATGTTGACCGTTTTTTTTTTGTACTGTGCTTTTTGTCAATCAAGGTAAGGTGCTGTGTTTAAGAAGTATTAAACTGTACCAGATTGTTGCGTTCCCAGTCATTGATAAGCTCCAGGTCTCTTGTCAGACAGGAAGTCGCTGCTAGTCTTCTTTTCTCCAACTCACTGGATAGAGGTCATTGATATTTAAAAGGAACAATGCCGAAACCAAGATGGGATGAAGAGAAGAACCAATCAGTTACGACGGATATCTTGCGGCCAGAGAGGAAGGGAAGGAGAAAGTAATGACCTTTCCTAAGAACTTTCAAATTCAAAATTAAAGTAGATGAGACTCAAAGGTGAAGATTCAGTTGGATGTATTCAGTATCCATCAAAAAATTTTGTTTGTCTCCAACGCCTTTTTTTCAATGTTGTTGTTAGGTATACAAACCTGTTAACAAACTTTAGGTAAGGATTGAGCACTCAAAAAAACAAGAGGTGGACTGAGGTATATCAAAATTACTGGGGAACTGTCCAGGTAAAAGCCCAACGTTGAGGTGCATGCCCTTTCGCAACGACGCGACGATAAGTATAATATATTAACACTCTTATCGATCGAATGTCCTGTTTAAATAGCCAAGGTTGCGCCACATGTTCTTTTGCAAATATAATATCACTTATCGACCTATTATTCAGTTTAAACGGCTATTTGCATTCTTCAGAAGCCTTCACCATTTTCGCGACTTGTCTGGAACACTAGGGCTGTATGGAATTCTCAATTCTCTTATATGTTTTCGCAGGAAATACATATCTCTTCCGCTCAGATCTCTTTATATACCCTTGGAAATCCTTGGACCCTTCATATTTCTACTGCCACTGCCACCTAGGGATGCGCAGATACAGGAATTGCTTTGATACTCACTAAATTACCCCAGATCTCTCTGGATGTCGGCAGGTCTCCTTGGATTGCACCTATTTTCCTCAGATTGCTCCCACGAAAAAATAATCAACTTTCTTGTGCCTAAATTTCTTGTACGATGGCATGTAATGAAGATATTTAATGAGCTCAACATGTTCAAGGTTGTCATACAGACTTATTCTAATTAAGACCCGACAGCTCATTCATCGACGCCAATGCCTCTGATGATTTATTTATTTATCTCCCAATGTAGATCTAAAGGAAGTTCTTTTCAGAAACCGTAAAGCTTAAGCATAATAAACAATATTTACGGTTCCCACAATATTTATATGTGAAAAAATTAATATCTTAAACAAATGTATAATTCCTATTTTTGAATACTGGTTGCTGTATAAAATACGACTTGTTAGTACTTTTTAAGTATGTCGCTACATATCGAGGAATAAAATTAGCGCTTTTTGTAAAAAAATAGTAATCAGTATGCTCAGAGGCTTTACCATATTCTTGCAAAAGCACGCTTATACAGTGCTTTTCTTTACCAACCTCTCCCTCCATTAATTATTTGAACGGGCCAAGTTAGCAAATTGAGATTCAGGATGATTTAATTGAGGCATTGATTGTATATTTTAGAATAAACTAGAAAATGATAAGATGACTGTATGTATAGTTATAAAGAGTTCAGAAGGTGCTAAAGATGGCGTGACAACCTTCTCTATTTAAAAACTTTCCAAGATGCGCCATCCTGAAATGCTCATCACTTTCACGCTAAAATGTAAAACCATTTTGAATATCAAGTTGCTGTATTTAGAAATTCGTAGAATAAATGGGGAGGGCATTGAACACAAGTACTGTATAGTGTTTACTAGAGGTAATGCTGCAAAAACATTTAGAGTCTCAGGGTACTATTTTCAACATAGCTCCAAGTACCCAGTCTACATTACAGGCAATTTGGGAAATAGATAAGTATAATTTTGATTTTTTTCATACAGACGCAGCTACGTAAAAAGAAGCCTAAATACTAGTGCACCGCATCTGCTATGAGGAGCTTAGACTCGCTTTGTTAATCCGATTTTTAAACTGCCCAAAGTAAGTAGAACTGGGAAAAGCCTCATTAGGCGGATTGCTATAGAATCCAGATACGTTTGGGACAAAAGACCAGTCATGCCGACCAGCTCTGGATGTAGACACAGTTAGGATGGGAGGCCGAAGTTCTGCGGATCTGTCTGACATTATGGAGAAGAAGTCTGAGGAGCAAAGCTCGTTGATAAAGCGGTAGAAGAGAGGCTAGATCGCCGACGGCCCGTCGATGACAAAGAGTCTCGAGACTGTCCATCAGTCGAATAGTTCTCCTTTTAACAGCATCGAGCAGGGATATTTAGTCGGGGTGGCAGCACCCCAACCATGTGGGCAATACTCAAGGCTAGGTATTATCTGGACCTTATACAGAATGAGGAGGTCAAGTGGAGAAAAGTACTTCTTAGCCCTAAACAAATCGCCAGATCAAGTCCTCGGCGATCTGGACTTCGATCATCCGAAACCGGCTGTTACAATTTCTTTTTATGGTCGACTAAAAATTAACTATATCTTGATAAATAAAATTATTACAACGTGTTTCTTATTTAGAATAATAATTTTATAGCAGTTCTTGAAAATATCGAATTTTATTTTTATAAATAATTTTATTTTAGAAAATCATACCTTACTCTCCATCTCGTAAAAGGTCATTTTTATAATTTCTGTCGATCGTAAATACGAGACCTGAAAGTGACTTGGTGCTCTTTCCGGTGCTCTCGTGTAGGAATTCAGCAGCCCACTACCCGATTTTGTGAAATAGTTTCACTGGCAGTGCTGCAAATTCATCGAGAGGTGGAGATTTTAATAGAAATCGGAATCCATTAGTGAGTTGGTTGTCTGAGCCCTTTTTCTTATCCTCTTGGGGTTTTAGCCGGAGAGATAACTACACTCAACCAGTGAGCTGGTAAGTGACCATTTTCTCCAACACACGTGCTCATTTCCTCAATATGATTTATAATTCTGTAGAGGGGTACAGCTTGCAGTGATAATCCGAGGCGAATTTAAGTAGAACTCGCGCCTGAGAGGAGCATTTCCCCTTTCAATGAACCCTCATTGTTTGATGTAATTATGATTTTTTTTTACTTTGCTTAGCCTGTCCTAATCTCAGACAAATTGAAAACGCAACCACTTCGTTCAAAAATTAAGGATAAAACATCAGTGATTTTTTTTGTCCAGTTTAGGCGTTCTTATGTATAACTATTAGGGTTATACTTTAACCATTTAATTATCCATCGTTTAGGTCAATATTAAATTCATCAAAAACTATTACTTGATATTTAGTAGTAAAAGAAAGCAATGTTTTGGATTTCTCTTTGGTAACATTTATATATTGTTCTGTATCATAGGACATACACTGAGAATGATATAGTATTATTTTTATATTGCTGTAGCTTCTGATTTTGGTTGTATATTTACTGAAATTTCAGCGAGCCATGCTCACGAGGTAAAATATTCCTGTTGTTCTTAAGTAACATTGTAATTGCTTTACTAAAGCCAAAGGAGGACACGAAATATTTTACCTCCGGGTCCTTATGTTTTTTCAAGGTATCTGATTATTTTGAATTAGTGATTGAATAGCTACCTTGATTAAATTTTAAATTTTTGAATTGATGTAACCCAAGACAAAATGAGTCCATGTTTTGATTCTTGGAAGAAAATTAAAAGGGGGGATTAGTAATCCTTATTTCGGATTATTTTTCTTAACAAGTAATTTTTTCTATTTAGGGTTCTATCTACGGGTTCTACCTTCGGGTATTGAGTTACATCTGGGACTTCCTGCCCTCGATTGCCTTCCTGTGATAGCCCGGCACCTGCCAAGGTTTTTTTTATTTTCGTTTTTCTAGTGGAAACCATTCAGCTGGGGGTAGTAAAAAATAACTTTCTTTGCTTGTCCTCCAGGACTACTTTTAATTTTTTTTATTTCTTTTGTTCAAGAAAGGTTTGTGTACCTTGTGAGTTTGTGTCTCCTTCAGCGCCAGAGATCCAATATTGGCTAGTTGTTATTTCTTTTCTAGCCATACTAGCTCGTTTAGGGGGATAAGACGGCCTTTAGTAGAACTTGGTTATCCATCAATACCTGATGAGCGCTGGCGGCTTCTTGTTAGTCAAGGTTCAATACTCTGGTCTGGAAGCATTAAACTGTACGACATTGTTGCGTCCCTAAGCAGTGATAACCGCCAGGTCTCTAACCAGACAGGAAGTCGCTCCACATTTTCGTTTCTCTAGTTCACCGGCAAAGATCAGCTTGGCACTCGGATTGATCCTACAGGAAGTAGTTGTAGTGGAGGGGAGGCGAAGCGTCACAATTAGGCAATCTTTTACCATTTTTACCGTCTCCGACTCAACAACTATCTATTGGTAACTGATAAAATAAAACAGCGCGAGTGATGAAATGTACCCATCACCCACTGTTAAATATTTTCTTGTAAAACTAAATAATACAATATACCCAAAAATGATGTTTCACGTACTAGAACACGTTGAGCTTGAAATGCGAATACATAAGGCTATGAATATGGTGTTTATGGGATCCCTGAGGGTGGAATGTGTCTCTTGGGTGCTTATTTCAAAATCTGGTTATCATATTACGTAATTCCAGGGCCACGCACTTTCCTTGTTAGGTCGAAAAGGGTGGAAAAAGGTTCTATACTAGCAGATTAAATTGAAATTTATGCGGACGAAGTTTATTAAAAGCTCAAGATCTCTCCATGAAAAAGTGTAAAAATAAGAATATTCTCTCTTATCTTAACCAGGATTATGACAAGCAACAGGTAGCTATGAATCTAATATTGACTCTATGATCACTGCACAGCTTGGCCTTTTGAGAAATCGAATTTTTTGATACGCCCGGATACATCTTGCATTCGTCCAAGGTTCTGTTGTACCATTTCTAGCTTACTGTATCAGGCAAGAATTGTACTGTGGAATTAAAGTGTGTTTTGCCTCTGAATAAACTGTTTTGTGCCAATGGAAGCAGTTACGTAACGGGGTAATGAACATAATGAATAGATATGAAACTAATTAAAGCATTTCAGAAAGATTTTAAAAGTAATAAATTCAAGTATTCAATATGACGATTTTTTTTATACTGAAGCTCACCGCGGATGCTATGAGGAGCTTAAAGAAACATTGCTAATCCGATTTTTGAACTAGGTTAGTAGATTGTTCCAAAATCTGGATACCCCAGGGACAAAGAAGTGGTCGTATCGGCCAGGGTCTGGATATGCGAAGTTCGACATGGTTAGGATGGGAGGCCGAAGTTAAGCGGGTCTGTCTGGT